GGAGTTCAGAATTAACAGGTTCTTCAAGACACAACTGCGAAACTGAAATTAACAATCAAAAATGTATGTTAGCAAATCAAGTAAACTAGCCAAGCGCTCTAACCAACTGAACTACAGAGGCCAGTTGTCCAGCTCTAACCACAAGTTTATATATACATACTAGGGTACTGCCATGTATATATTATGGGTAAATATCAAGATTTTGTTCGCATCTCAACTCGATTGCATAATGGTTGAAGGGTATTGTAGATGGAAATTATCGAGTGGAAATTTACATACATTTATTAGACCTAACCAGGAATAGCGGCGAAAAATGAAACTTTAATTTAGGTCTCTGGCAGGAATCGAACCTGCGCCCTGCCATTCACTGCGGTGCAGCGCTCTGAGCTACAGAGGCCAGCTGTCGAGCTCTAATCACAAGTTCATGTATACATGCTAGGGTAGTGCCATGTATAGGTTATGGGTAAATATTAAGATTTTGTTGGCATCTCACTCGCTTGAATAATAGCCTTTATCAGTACAGTTAGGAGAGTCTATATACTAATTCAAAATGTAAATATACATAAATTATACTAATTATGGCTTTTAGCCAATTAATTCATTGGTAATTACAGTAAAATACTACAAGAGATGTGTGGCGAGTTACTGTATACCTGAAAAAAGAACACTAAGTTGTGGTTGCAGGTGTGTAGGTGGTACAACTATCTGAATAATATAAACCTTCGTTCGAAACACCAAAGTTCTGTTTAGATTTTTCGGGGAGTTGTTCCCTACACACCGTAGCAGTTTGTTATGTTTCTAACTACACTGGTACCGACCGTTCGAGATTGTATGGTAATAACTAATTCTTTAATCTTTATATACGAAATTCAACATCCACATGCAGCAGGCAGATTTTTTGAAAATATGTTGATTGAAACAGGACCCACAAAACACCAAAACTCTATTCGTATAGACATGCATGATTTAGCATCTGCCACCTAACCTCCATCTGCCATTATTTAACATTAAATTATAAATAATTCAATTAATACCTTTTTTCTCCCAGTAATCGAGATCATCAAACACGGCTTTTTCGTCAGGTTTTGGTAAATTACTCGTTTTTATGAATGATATTAAGGCTTTTATTGATGCAGTGAATACTGGTTGGATCCATTCTGAAAAGTTGCAATGGGCCCACTTGTTTCTGATATCCCTTACTATTTTGGCATCAGCTGCAGCAGAAGAAAATGGCGTTGCATTACACATCACTGCCAAAATTGCTGACATATCCATCGTGTCATTGAAACCAGTACATTTTGCCATATGAGGTTGCATAAACAACTTTGCTAAAGACAACGGATCTTTTACCGCAAAGTCATAAGTATGAGAAGGCTTTTTTTCATTGTTATTGATGCTTTTATAATTTAGTGAAAATGTTGAGGACGGTAGTGTCTTTCTGCGAACTGGCTTGTGAATTTCAAGAGGTGGTTGACACAAAATATTATACCACTTCGGTAGTTCACTTCGAAAGACTTTTCTTAAGGCAGGTGCTATAACTTTGTTAAGACATAGACCAATAACAAGCCATCTTCTTTCTTCCTCTGATATAGTATCAGTACTTGCTGAACTTGCCATTAGTTACCTATAAATTAAATGTGCATGAAAATTGGTGTTCGACTGCAAAAGCATTTCTGCTGTAGCTACTTAGTACTGGCAAAATTATTTTCTGATATCCCAACGTTTCAAAATTTTTGTAAAAAGCCATTCCCATGAAAAATAATGGACGGAAGGTCTATTGTAGTGGTTTCATATTATTTAGTAACCACTACTGCCAAAGAGCCTCCCTTGGCACTTGAAAAGTAAAATCATCTAGTGGTAGACATTATAGGGGAAGCCCCTCCGACAGACCTGCCAAACGTCTTTGAGATAATGCGTGAAACCTCACAGCTGGGCGCGTTACTGCCATATTTGATTGAAAAATGCGCTTCTTCGTCATTGCTAATAATTAGCAAGGCTCCCCCACAACTCTCATACGGAATTTTGAAGATGTTTGAAATTCCAACAAACTCATTGAAAAAATTAGGCTAAACTGCGCCGGAGTGCTGTAAAATGTCTTTTACAAAACGTAAAGGAGAAGATCCACACAATCTTCTGACTACAGAATTAAGATATGGGGAAATGCATGACCAAAGATAATTTTAAGCATGTGTGCAGGTCAGCTGGAACAAAATTTCAATGTGCGACTTTCACGCCAAATACGTGACACCCTAAATAATTTTTCAAATTTTCTATTGATAGCTAATTATAACTGTGTAACAATACTGTAATTTAATAATACTTTAGTTTGTGGAAACACCACGTAAATTTATTACTGCAAAGCTTTCGATCCGTAATCCTGGATCTTCATCAGTGCTAATAATTATAGACTATGCTAATATTATTAGCACTGACGAAGATCCGGGCTATACGGATCGAAAGCTTTGCAGTAATAAATTTACGTGGTGTTTCCACAAACTAAGGCTATGTTTACATTGTATCGGATCACTTTGCGTCCGACGCAAAAACCATACCGGATAGGGCTTCTGTTTACATATGAAATGTTGTTATCGTCTCAATTTCTGCAACGGACCGGTGGTGCGGCGGTTCGCTCTTCGAAGTGGTGCGCGATGTATCGGATCGCTTTTTGCAACGCTCTCATTGTAATGTAAACACAAATCGGAGCAATTTTCGGTTCAATACGTGACTCAAGATGGCATCTGGGAAACAAAGACTTGCTATTCTAATCTTATTTGCGGGTATAGCTTGCTCACTTATAATATTTTTGTATTTAGATGGGCGAGGACGGAAGCTGTTTACACTTGGGCCGTAACGTTTCGTGAACGAAGCAAAAACCGATCCGATACAATGTAAACATAGCCTAAAGTACTATATGTTTTATCGCCATGCAAACCTACAAAGAACTTAATGCTGTGATTTGTTTTACAACCAATAAAGCTACTGAAAATTTGCATAAAATTGAGGCCAAAAAATATTTCAGGAATCAAGATTTGCAGTAGGCTCAGATTCCAGCCGTTGTGTTCTCGCCACTCGCCCACTTAACGGCTGGGTCAATGAGCTTCGGCATTGTTCTGATTGACCAATCACATTACAGCCCCCCCCCCCAAAAATTTGGGAGGCATAAATTTGTATTAATAATGCATGAATTTAACACAAAGGTAATAAATTAAATATGGCTAAAAGCGCATTGCTGAAGCGTTCGAGGACGGCGTTGTGCAAATATGTGCACTTAAAAAGATCTGTTCAACGATATTTATACGTGAACTACATGGGTTAAAGCGTCATTTTTTGGGGAAGAGTAATTCCGACGATTTTTACGACACGAACCGAAGTCTCTCTACGAATAATAGTCGCTGGAATGTTTTCGAATCCGTTGCATATTTTTATATATTTGTGTTTATAAATAATATATCTGGCTCATTGAGGATTCTTGGTCATGAAAGGGCAAAGAATATTTTGCGTGTGGCTTAGCAAAATTAATAACCTTTCTTTTTTTAGCTTAGTTAGCTAGGTGGCCTACTCCTTTGAAACCCTCCCTGTTTCTGCTGATTCAGTTGGACATTTATAATTATATTTACAGTAAACCTGGATGTGTTTATTATTGGGCTGGTCTGGCATATTGCCAGGAAAGTAGAAAATGTTATTTTGCAAAGTCTTATGACATATAGTATATTAGTATGTAGGATATTGCAGTATTTAAAAGGCTTATTTTAATTAATATTAAGACATGTTTATATGGTCCTGTCAGGTGGGAAACCTTGCCAGGCAGCTAGGATGTCATGTTTATACATGTTCGTGAGTGAGTTCATCAAATATATACATGCATTTTTGAACACGAGTTGATATGATAGTCAGGATCTTGGAAACTGCCTTATCCTGCCTAGCTGGGATTTTATAAACAGGCCCTAATTCATGGAGCCCATGGCTAGGTAATAATAGGCTTGGTTAGATCTTCCACAAGCTAGTTTGGGCCATTTGACAATATTTTTTAGACTGGGCAGGTAATTTGTAAACTGAAACTGATATATCAGTGTGCTCATATATGCTAATTGCTAATTACAGTCAAGCACAATACATACAATATTATTTTATATATTGACAATATGATTTACCATGAATACTAATTGAATAAATGTGGGCACATAGTTATTTGAAGGGCAATAAATAAATCCAATTGGTATCATGTGTTTCTTTGTTGTGAAGGGGCAAAGAATGGGACTTGTTGGATAGCCTAAGTAGAGGATTTATGGAATAAAAGTATGCAATGTTTTATAAATTCAGACAGTGAAATATGCATTTAGTCTGTTCAACAAGCTCAAATATGTTTGCTCTCAGGCTGAGTTTGGAAACCCTGTCAGTATGGTATTAAGAAAAGGATAGTTGTCATGTCAATGTGTGTTTTTAACGGCTGTTCATATGAAAGCCAGACTGAGAATGACAAAGCATGATAAATTGCTAGTTCTGAAAGACTGAATATTTATTTAAGCTAATAAACAAGGGTTCAGAAAATTTGTTGCAGTAACACTTTAGTTAGAAAATATCAAAATGTTAAACACCAAAATTATCTTGGCATGGGGGATTAAGTTTTCACGGGGGAAAAGAAGCCAAATTCTTCTTGCATTCCTGCAGATGTATTCAGGGATGGATTTACTGGGGGTGGGGGGGGGGCACCCCCTAGCCCTGGCCAGAGGGGGTGCAGGGGGGGGTGCTATTTTTCATGATAAAGCAAAAAATTATTAGAAACAAAATGACATACAGTAATTTGAGTAATAACATGATGATAAGTGAAATGTGAACAACAAGTACAATTTAAATACAGCTAGTAGTCTATGAAGGTGCACAGTAAGGTACAGTTCAACATCAAACACTAGGTCTTCTATTTTGTGTTTGATGTTTGCAGGTTTCCAGACCATTATAATGATCATATCTTGACAGACTATTGTTTGGTCTATAAAAGACTTAGTTCCTTCACTGTCCCTCGAACAAAATCGATCAGGAAGGAAAATTTTTAGATATTAATCACAAGGCGTAAAATTGCATTTTTTACGTATAACTATAGTCTATAAACAACTCAAATATTAACATCAAATTTATGTTCCTCTTCAAAGAATAATCATTGAAAAACTATTTGTTTAAAATAAGACGTTACTTATTCAGATTCACCTGCTTTTGTTGGTAGGGTTTATTGTTTTACTATTTTAAAATATAAATATATTCATTGACTCGTGTACATTGCAGTTCCTTTCTTCGTTAAAAACATACTAGAACTTAATAACATTTTGTCAAATGAACTTAAAACTTTCCATTTTGTTTTCCTTTACAAAAAAGTTATCGATGAATGCACAAAGTTGTTAAAATTTGCTATTTCCTCTTCGAAACAAAATTGTTCGCTCCTGATAGCCGCCATTTTACATTGCACAGAAATATATAATTATCCAAAACACATGCATAAATTTAAATATTAACCTGACGTCACAGACAAGAAATATTAACCATTGACCCAGCCGTTAAGTGGGCGAGTGGCGAGAACACAACGGCTGGAATCTGAGCCTAGATTTGCAGCAGCAATATGCTAGTGGTAATATACTGTAGGATCTGAAGTGGATGTTGATGTTTAATTAATTTATTAATTAATTAATTAATTAATTAATTAATTAATTAATTAATGTTTTGGATTATATTTCCCTAGGAAGATGAGAACTGATGCCCAAAGCAGACTACAGCATGTCACATGTCCCTATATGCCTTAAAGGGCCAGTTGCAAGCACAATATGCCACACTGGGGCCTGAGTCTAACCTGACTTGGGCTGTCAGTCCTCTTAGACGGTGTAATAATTATACATTGTTCTTCACTCTTGTGATACTAAGAGTTAGAAAAGCACCATGCAAGTAGTGTCAATTGTGCAATTGTGATAAACACATTTGTCTGGTTCCTACTACTACATTTAAAATCGATCGCACTGCACTATATACATTTGTTTAACCACTGAAGCCCATATTGGGGGCACATGGCCAGAAATGACGGACATTGTGCAAGCGTACCAGTCGGTCAGCGGTTTTCCGTTTATCCACAAGAATTCCTAATTATCCTTCAAATATTCGCGTGGGTGTTGTTTATAAAGCAAAGCGTGAAGTATGCACTCAAGTTGTGGCCTTTAGTTTACCAGGCTCAGGGTGTAGCTAAGCAATGACTACGGGAACGAAAAGAGAGGCTTTCGACGAGTATTTTGGTACCAAACATGTAGCAAGGCAATCAATATTTCGAGTTTGGCAAGCGAATGGAATATCACTTTTCGACCGCGAAGTAATATTATAATAGAGAGGTTAAGATACAAAGATTTCGGTTTACGGGTACGGGTGATATACACGTACCCGTACCCGTAAATCGGGGAATAACTTGTAACTTAAGAAATTCAAATACTCCGGCGTGAGAAAACAGTTCAGAGAATGGCAACTTTCGCTGTTGAGGTTCTCCATAAATTGTTGAAAACTTTGACCAGCATATGTGCATTATTTATTTGGGTAAGATGTTTGAAAATTTGTACTATTTAAACGACCCAAAAATAGTAAACAGAAAACACCCGTACCCGTTTGTCGTTTACGTGTAGACCACGGTTTACCACGGGGAAACGGGTAGAAATTACGGGTAAAATTGCTGACATCAGCAGAAATTGGTAAACAAAATGGCGATACTCGTACCCGTAAACCGGAACCGGGGTATCTTAACCTCTCTATTATGCATATTAACGCGCCGGCTTGCGAATTTCATAACAAAAAAGCAGAGCTTTTATCGGGTGTAACAAAATAATAAACGGCGGAAGGCAAGGCTATACTATTCGTCAAAAGAAAATGATTTCAACAAATTTCGATAATTGAATATAATACGAGATATAGCCTTTTGAGCGAGAAACCTTTATAGATTCCTATGTAAAGTGAGGTAAAATGTTGTAATATTCAATCGCAAAAAGCAGAGCGAGTAGGCAAAGAAATGAGAACTTTTTTTCTTAATGTGTTACTATCCGACCGCTACTTCTGGAACCAATTTCAACAAATATTCAAAGATTTATATATAGCATGCTATATTGAAAATACTCCGCTCGCCTGATAATAAACATAGGGCATTGCGCAGCCATTGTTGCGTGGGTGCTCGTGGTAACGTGAAACCTGAGAAATGAAAATGTCCGTGACTTCTGGCCATGAGGGACTGGATCGATGGTTTAAGGTCGTCACGGCATGCTGGGAGCTGGGTCGAAATTTTCTGGTTGAAACCTTTGCTTGTCTTACAACGGCATAGGAGTCTGGGAGGGGACGAGAAAAGTAGGGAGGGAATTAAGGGTAAGGCAGACTAAGACAGACTATCAATACCGCTCGAACACGCTGTTGCGGTCACCCTGCCTATAGTCATGTATATTATTACCTCCGCCAGGAGGTTATGTAATCATCTGGGTTTGTTACCTCCGCCAGGAGGTTATGTAATCATCTGGGTTTGTATGTGTGTGTGTATGTGTGTGTGTGTGTGTGTGTGTTTGTCTGTGAGCACGATAACTCAAGAAATACGAAACATATCCGTACGAAATTTTGTGAGTGCATTTCCCATCAGCTAAGGAAGAACTGGTTAAAATTTGGTTGAATTTGGTTAAAAATTGAACGAGAAATGAACAAAATTTTGTCTTGCTTTTCCCGGTCAATTAAAAAAATATTACTGAATGCGTAATTAGGACGTGTATAATTTATGCACACAGTACTAAGACAATAATGAGATGATAAACCTCATTAAGCTTCGGCCTTCATTATCTATTGTCTTAGTTGTATTTCACGCGACCGAAATTCAATGTCTAAAACAAGGCTTACGGAGTTACGCATTATTACGTTTAGCAAAGTGCCAGTCCATTCAAATTCTAACAACATTAGATTACTTCAATACAGGGTGTATAAAAAAACGCAACCTCGGAATTTCCCAAGAAATCGACATTGTTTTAAAGACAAAAGATTTTAGCTGCCTGGGAATTTAAAATAGCACAACTGTGAAAATTACTGCACGCGCGAGTGCATAAAGCAAAATTTTTATTTTACAAGTACTGTACAGTACAACAACAGAAATATGATCTATTAGCAATTCGATTTCAATTCGCGGGGGCCTGAAATCTTTTATGCTTAAGAATTATAAAGTGGATTTCTTAGGAAATTCCAAGGTTGCGTTTCACTTCCGAGTAACGGGCGGAGGTATGCAGTCTCTGAGTGCCCTCTAGTTTTTTATATGTTTTCGAGATTTGATTCACATAGGAAGTAGGTCAGCGAAGTCCGTCGGGCTCCCCCGCTTGAGCGAAGCCAGATCTCGCCTTCCCTCGGCTCATATAAACGCAAATACTTATCTTAAATTTGATTTTATGAATCAAAATATGATTTTAAAACACTCATTTTACGGGTTAGTATTCATTTTGCAATTACTGAAAAAATCAGTTGGCAAACGTTTCTGAGTATATAAACACATTTCTACAAGACTCTTTCACAGTCTCTCAAATTTGCTCCGAGAAAGTTAAGATCATCATGTAGCCTGCGAGGCGCACGCAGTGAACTATATACAGTTATATATATGTTATATAGTTCAGTGGGCGCACGCACTTGCGGTTGAAATGGAAAAAGAGGACGCAAAGGCCCATGGGCCATGCTCTCACCAAAGAACACATTCCAACACTTTTTGCTGCAAAAGTCAGTCCTCAAACATTTTTCTGCGAAATCTCAAAAGGATATCAGGCTTTCTATATCAAAAACACCTTAGTTAATTAGTTAATCAACTATCTTTCAGGGACAGCAAGAAAATTTTGAAGGGACAAATGATTGCCTTCCCTTCGCAACCCCCAATGTATTTGGAATAACTATAGAAATTAACGTAAACACAATCACTGACAGCTTACCTGGCACATTTGCCTTCTCCTCCAAACTTTTGCCGCTCATCATTCTGTCAATTTTCTCCTCAATAGAAGATATTGCGTGCTCCAAATTCTCATGAAACATACTGGTGGCTTGTAACTCCTTAATGCGACATTCTTCTAATTCTTTAACTTTCTCTGTAGGGAAATCATCCTCGTTCATCTGACCAATAGCATCAACAAAAGCGGTATCAATGTTAACCGCTGATAAAGCGTCTTTTACTAAGAGTACATAATTATCAAAATCAGTTTTAATTATTTCAGTTTTGGGTAAATGGCAAAGTTTGTTTCTCAACAACCGCAACTGATCAATTGCCAAGGTATAAGTTTCATCTTGTTTTCCCGTTGAACTTTGAACGGATGAATGAAAAGAACCTGGAAGTGGTTTCACTTTTTTCAAATATAAATCATTTAAAGTTGATCCCTTGCTGCTTGGAACACCAAATGTTTTGGCATAGATTGTTGCTTTAAATAAAGTTGTGCAGTCCCATTCATCAATTGATTTCGTAGTTGGTATATCAGTTTTACCACCCTCAGATTTAAATAGCATATTTCGTACCTTGGTGCTATCATCCCAGGTAATATATCCTGGTTTTATAGCAACCCTACTGTCCCACATGATGATAAAAATTTGACGTATGACCTTGGGGAACTCGTGAATAACAAGTTTAGAAAACTTAAAGAAGTTCAATTCCTCTTTAGAAAACGGTTTCGCAGCCATTGTGTACTGAGTAAAATCGATCTAAGCCATTTGATTTCCTTTTGTTAACCTGACTATCTAGAAAAATATTAGAGAAATATTGAAACTCCAGAAAAGGCCAGGGGTCATGTGATGCCAAACATTGTGCTTCACAAATGGTTTGATAAATGGTTCACATACAATGGGGAACAAAGCTCGAGAAAATGGTGTCAAATTCATGTCAGAGTTGAGAATCATGCATAATTAGTAGTAACCCAAGACAGTGATAGACTTATTATTAAAACGATATAGGCTTCCATATAAATTGGTTTCAAAATATATTCAAAACAAGACACGGTCTACGAAGCACAAACAATAGATTATAACTTTTCAAAATGCACTTTCAGCCAAAGTTGATGAAAATAGTCAGTTTTAGCAGCTCACTTCAACCAGAGTTCATGAATGCCCTCCCCAGGGGAACATTCCCCATTTAAAGACCTGCAATATATATAGCCTCCTCCATGCAATCATGCATGGAAGCATTCATTGTCAATGGTGGTTGAGTACATGTAAAAAGTTTTGAGAAGAAGTGTCCTAAAGTAAATAATAGGCAAGTAATGATTACATTGTATTATATTTCCCCGGAATAGAATTGAAACACTGTTGCCAGGCAAGTCGCGAGAATATCTCATTGCTTAAGTGTGGATTTGAACTTGTGCTCTCCCTATTGACTCGATAGCTCAATTGGTCAAGCATCTGCCCGGTTCGGTGAATATGCGAGTTCAAAACCCGCTTGAATCAACTTTATATTGACAACGCAGCGTTGGTTTTTTTTTCATGAATATATTAACCTCTTCCAACCATTCATTCATTGTTTAAGATTTAGCGAATTAATTTCCGTTCCTAATTTCCGTTCCAAGTGGCTAATTCATGGTCGCGTTGCTAGTGTATTCGAAAATTGTACCTTCCTATCTACCATTCTACCGACAAGAAGCTTTAATAACATAAATAATTTCAACTATTCAACTAAATGAACCTACTGAACCAGCATTTACGTTCAAAGTGCTCACAGATATACAGACAGTCTTAATGCATGCATCCGCATTGAAGCACATCCTCGATATGTTTATAATACTGATCTACAGATGTCTGATAAACATTTCATTAAGAATCGTATAGAATCGTATATTAAGAATCTTATATAGTAATTGGCTAAAGGTCTAAACTAAAACGTACCTTTCTTATAGCGTTTATAGCAACATGGTCATTCTAATATCATCATAAACTTACCGCTTACGACCTACGGAACATTAACTTCATTCTGGCTTCCGTGTTTCACACGAAGCTCTCATGGCATATGACTGATGGTCACGGGAATTGTTTGTTTTTAACAGCGACGTTAGGCTGATAAATGAACACTGCTTTCCACGAGCGACAATCGTTACTTCCACACATAAAAATGTCATAATAGAAAAGTAAAAAGAAACATTTTACTTACCGAAAATGTTAGCTTGCAATTCTGTGACAAGGAACTAGATAATGCGCCCGCGTTCTTTAACCCTAGCGCTGTTCACCATTAGTAGTCGTCTTATGGTTTCGGGCAGGAACATACAAAAAGCCGGGATACTCAAAAATTGTAGTAAGAAACGTCAGCGTCTGATCAAACAACCTGTTAAATTTGTGACCTTATGGAACACCACCAATGCCAATGCGGTTTCAAGCATCACAGATTCAACAACTAAACATCTTCAATGCTCAATTAGTGTGGCCATCTGGTTGCTCGAGTTCATAAAATGGAAAGACAGACATATGCCTCCATACCAAAATAATACAAAAAACTTTGAAATTTACAAGCACATTACTTCTTGCGTTCACTTTAGTGTAAACCTACATTCCTATTTAAGGTAATTCCTCAGTTTTGCATTGCTCACACTTACTGCGCACATCCATGAATCATGGTTTTTATTGTTAGTGATCAGCATACAACACGGCCTATGTGCTGTTGGGAAAAATAAAAAGGGATAAATCAGTTATTTAAAAAACCAATTGCCAAAGTTTAATTAGAGCTCCTTAGTATGCAAATAAATTGCTTTAAAAAAACCATGACCATCTTGAGAATTGAATATATGATTCGAAACAAAACGCAGGTTGAGAATGAAATACAATACTTTACAACACATATATTGTATATTGTATAGAGATAGAGCATCGTCATGTGGGCGGAAGGAAGGATTATCGGGTCTTTCCTTTCTACCTCAGTAATCCTTTTAATATATGAAACATTGTTGTAAATATAGCTAAATAATCCATTTTCAGTTTTTACTAATTTCTTTATCATGTTTCGCTTCGCTTGGGTAATCCTTCCTTCCGCCCACATGACAGATGCTCTCTCTGTCTGTCTCTGTCTGTCTCTGTCTGTGTCTCTGTCTGTCTCTCTGTCTGTCTCTCTGTCTGTCTCTCTGTCTGTCTCTCTGTTTGTCTCTCTGTCTGTCTCTCTGTCTGTCTCTCTGTCTGTCTGTCTGTCTGTCTGTCTGTCTGTCTGTCTGTCTGTCTGTCTGTCTGTCTGTCTGTCTG